TCGAGAATGGATCATAAAATCCATTATACGCTTCAATGAACAACATTTTCGAAAAAAAAACGCAAATGAATATCTCGGTTCGAGTGGAAGTAAGCCATAACATTGATTATATACAGAACATCTGTTGATTAAGATGAAATGGGCAGGGAAACGTAAGATTCAAGCTTTTTTCTCTTCTTTCTTTTTGGTAGACTAACAATCATAAATGTGGAAATAAAAATCATTTATCTGTACTAATTGCATATTTTGTATTTTTGATTTTCATATACAATGATTACTTATGTCAATACATAATCAGATCTTTGAATGTAGTTTTATTTGAAAAAGAAATAAAAAAATAAGAATAACTTATTTTCTCTTCTATTGACAAATTGAATAGAAAAGAAAACAAAAGAAATTTATAGGTTAAATTATTTTGATTTTTCTTTTTTTTGTAATTCGGCATTTATGATGTATTCAAAAAAAAAAAAGTACTATTTTTATACTTTTGATTTATCTTCGATAATAAAATCAAAAAGAAATAAATTCATTCTTACAATGCGCAATTCAACTTATTGGTATGATTATTATTCCGTCTTATCTATCATTAGTTAACATTCGTCTTTTTCTTTTTTATTCTCGATTACTACTCTCTTCATTTGATTTCTTTTTATTCAATAGATTCTCTTCTAGACACTTACAATATAGAATAATGTCCTAGACTTCTGTTTGTTTCAGACTCCGAGAAGATGAAAAACAACGAAGGCTTTTGTTCGGTTGCGACCGAACAAAAACACGACCGTTCGCCTTTTCTCCTCACTATGTTCATTGCAATCGTTTTATGTTTGTACCAAACAGTAAGAATGCCACTCATCACTATACTTCATGATAAAGATAAGGATGACAACGAAAACAATTAATTTTGTTAATATTCCGCATTTCTAATCACATTAGTAAGCGACAACAAGTAAGAGACAACTTTATGCTTTCTCCGCCTTCTTCTTTCAGTTTTTTTTTTCTTCTTCTTTTTTTCTTCTGGAGAAAAAGGAAAGACTTGTATCTATTCAATGTTAAGACTACTAACACATTAACATAGCCAACTGTTGTCAGTATATCATATATAATAATAGCTATAAGACGAAAAATATCTATACATATATAAGAGTGCAAATATACCATCGTTCAAATTATGTGAGTAATTTCCTGTTGTAAATGAGCAACAAATTGAGTCGTGATATCATATTCACTGTATAGCTTATTTTGTAATTTCATATCCGGTGATAGTAGGACAAAAAAAAAAACTGAGAACGTATGTCCTTGAACAGATCGTTATTCGTATTTAATAATTGAGAACTTTTTGTTAGGATAAAAAAAAAAAGAGAAAATCGACTTTTTTTTGTTTCAAGAATAGCAAAATGTCTAGATAAAAATAAGATATCATCCATATTTACATAATTGAATAGTAGACAAACTAGATTAGAAGAGAATTTTTTTTTTTTTTTTGAGAGGAAAATGTTCATTTCCGAATAAATTATTAAAAAAAAAATCTTGTCATTTTCATTATTTATTTAATCATAAAAATAATAGGTATATATTTCTTTGTAATGGAAAAAATGATTATGAGTGTTAAAATATACATTTTAAACACATTGTTTTATATCATTTATTGATACACTAGAGAAATTTTTATCAGAGATTGAATAATACTTTTCATTTCGAAAAATATTATTCATGATAGGAAAAATATTTCATAGAAAAAAAAAAAAAATGCAAACTGAAAATTTCTTCTCACATATAGATCTCATAAGCTTTTGAAAAAAAAACTGTTAGTGCAATCTTTATGCGATGAAAAATATGTAACACGATAGAGCTACTAGTATTATAAAAGCAAGGATTAATCAATATATATTTCGGTTTATTAGTTTCTATCTACCATTGATGTAAATCGATAATGAAAGATATTAATCGCAAAATATTGCAATGGATGTAAAAGACTAGTAGAGAACAACTGTTATACTCATTTCAACGGTGGATTTCGATCTCGCGCCTGTGTCTGTCATGTCTATGATCATCTGTTGATAAGATGTCTGACACATCTGTGGGCTGGGTTCTAATATTTACTCTTAGACTTCAACACTTGTTGTCGATTAATATTTCGAAAAGGATAGAAGTTTTAATATGTGACATTGTTTATGTTGATAGATCAAGTTTTTGTGTTTTCTATTAAAAAAAAAACAAAATAAGAAACATAGTCAAGAACATATTATTGAACTTTTTAATCTGATATGATTAATAGTTTCGAAACGAAAATGAGAATACTTTTTTTTAATTAACTTTACAGATATGTAGAGAAAAATGTGAATCTTTATTATTCTAGTTGAACTTATATATAATATATCGTGTTACATTAAGAAACTAATAACAATATTATTTATTACAAATTTATATCATTTATTGTGTAAATATACATAGAAAAAAAAAAAACTTTCATTTTATAACTAATGATTTATTCTAATCAAATTTATTTCCCCTTTTTTTTTTTCTTTTGAATTACGAATGATTGATTAAAACAAAAAAGAATAATTCCATAGAACGATATTAATAAACATTTTTCTCTACTCGCTGAACTATTAGAAATCTTTTGTTCATAATTAATAATGATTTTGAAAATGCGATTTTTCATAGTTCATTTTTATTATTATTATTATTATTTAATTCTTCGAGACATGAAAAAAAGAAACAGAAAAATCATCATCACTTGTTGTTTTTCTCTTTCTTGATAAATCTAACCAGATAAAATTTCTATTTCAGTTATAGAAAGTGTGTGTATACATATCGTAGATGAATATTATTTAAGCATATCACGATTCTATTATTTGATAAGGAAAATTTATGCAATATTTTATTTATTAGTAAAAAAAAAAGCGTTGCATACATAGTTGAGTATTTAAAACTATGATGTGAGAAATTTTTTTTTTTTAATATTCTTGTCGAAATATTCGAGCGAAGACATTATACATAATATTAAATTTAATAATTAAGTTTGAAATGATATAATTGACATATTTACTATTCAAAATATAAATCCGTGTTAGAGAACACATGAAAAGTATTATCGATTTGATAGAATACGAATGGTTATTAATACGTTTTCTTTTTTTCATTAGATATGAAGTTATATTATTGGAAAAAAGCAACATTTTCTTCATACGATTAATTATTATCTAAAGAAGCTTTTACAGATGATAGTTATAACCAGATTAAATTGTCCTTTTTTTTCTTGTAGACTTTTACAGACAATTGATTTGTCTTCATATTTCGAAGCGCTCAAATAGAATGTTTTTTAAAAATGAATTTTTTTTTTCAGAAAAAAAGTTCAAATCCTGTACAAAAGACTAGCTTTTGTTTAAAACTTTAAAAAAGTCCTGTAAATACAAAGAATAATTTTTTTTTTTTGTGGAAACTAGGGGCCATTCAGTGAATTGTTTAACGCAATATCTGTTTTTTTATTCTATCATTTTTACATTAATATTAATGAGAATTTGTAGAAAATTAAATTCTATATCTTTTGATAAGAAAATAGAAGATCATATATTTCTTTTCAATTGAAATATTTGCAAAGAAAAAAAAGTGTTATAAAACTTTTGTCGCATTTGACACGCATAATTACTACAGAGTGAGTAAAAATGTTTTTCCAGGCGGGTAACACTATTATTTCAAATGGCATACATAACTAATTTTATAGCAAATTAAAGCGCGTCGAAAATGGAATTTTTTAATACCAAATTGTAAGAGTTATCAAAACTTTTTGATGTCAAATTTAAGAAATTTTATGCTTTTTTGGAATAGAAAACAAAAGTGTCAGTGATTCAAAAATGGATTTTAGTATTTTCTTTTAATATTTTTACATGATTCGATAGAGCTTGTAGAGCTCTACAAAACTGTATATATTAAAATTTTTTTAAAGATCGTTTTCTAAGATAAAAAAATTAAAAAACTACTTGAAAAATGCTAAAAATTGTTAGAAGACTCATTTTTTTTTCATTTGAGAGACAAATACTCGGTTTTTCAATAAAATTAGCTTTTTCTCATTATTTTCACTAATAGAGACATTTTCAAAATGTAATCACTAAACGCAGTTTTTCACGCTATATCTGGTGGCTACATTTCGAAATGTCTCTATTAATGAAAATAATGGGAAAAAGCTAATTTTATTGAAAAACCGAGTATTTGTCTCTCAAATGAAAAAAAAATGAGTCTTCTAACAATTTTTAGCATTTTTCAAGTAGTTTTTTAATTTTTTTTATCTTAGAAAACGATCTTAAAAAATTTTTAATATATACAGTTTTGTAGAGCTCGACGAGTTCTATCGAATCATGTAAAAATATTAAAAGAAAATACTAAAATCCATTTTTGAATCACTGATACTTTTGTTTTCTATCCCAGAAAAAGCATAAAATTTCTTAAGTTTGACATCAAAAAGTTTTGATAACTCTTACAATTTAGTGTAAAATTAGTTATGTATGCCATTTGAAATAAAAGTGTTACCCGCCTGGAAAAACATTTTTACCCACTCTGTAGACACTATTTGATATTATAACTTTTATTATGTGTAAGCGTTGATAATATTAGAAAAAGTATAAAAGAGTGATAATTTTATTAGATTGAAATTTTATTCTTTTTTCCATGATTCATATATAATAAATAGAATGAATGACAAATTTAGATTATCTATATATTAATCAATGATGATTAGTAAATAGTAATGAAAATATGCGGTCATAAATCTTTGAATAGAAAGTAACATCATGTATCCGAATCATCTGTAACTATTATTTTGTCTTATAGACAATAAATGACATCAAGCAACATCCGATTGTTGATAATAGTATTTTCTTTTTATGAGATCGTCAATAGTAAATTTTGTCATATTTATAACTTGACTAGAAATATTCAATAATTTATATATATATTTTTTTTATAGATATGTAATATTCTAATTTGATCATATTTTATTCTCCATGAATGATCATGTAATATCATCGACAGTTTTATCTGTCGATCATAATTTCACTTTAACATTATTCAATAATCCAACAATTTACTCGATAGAACCAATAAATAATTGTAGTGTTGCATTACAATATAAATTTGTTGAACACATTTTTTATCTTTATTTTATGTCACCATTATGTCTTATTGGTCTTATATTAAATGTAATTAATTTAATTATTTTTTCTGATCGTTCATTTAAAAATTTAACATTTAAATATTTACGTCTTGTTGCATTTGTTGATTGTATAACATGTACACTTGTATTTATTTATTGTATTACAAATTATACTCGACCACGTACATTAAATGATAAATATTTTCGTATATGGTATTTAGTTAATGTCTATTTTCCATTAGCTAATATAACAGCTGGATGTAATGTTTTATTAACAATAACTGTAACAATTGAAAGACTTGTTAGTGTACGTTGGCCAATGTCAAAACAACATTTATTTAGTTCAAATCGTGTTTTATTAACATTAATAATATGTTTTTTATTTCCAATTGTTGCTAATTCAGTTAATTTTCTTGTATATAAAGTTGGTGAATGTAATAATCTTGATGTAACAATTATAGCAACAACAAAAGCATATAAATATTTTGGTATATGTAAAGAAATATTATTACGTTTTATTCCAATATGTATACTTATATGTTCAAATTGTCTTTTATTATCAACTGTACATGCAGCTAATAGAAAATTTAAACCAAAAAAAAATTCTAAACAATTATCAACTGAAACATCAAAACCAATATCATTACAACCATTATCAAATGGTTGTGATTCACAAGTAATAAATAAATATATATCAGAAAATCAAATACAAACTGATACACATTCACCTATATTAATGGATCCAACAACAAATGGTGATAATAGAAAATCATCTGTACCAATACAATCAAAAACTAAAATGCATATTAGAAAACAACAACAAGAAAAACAATTAACTATAATGCTTGTTTGGTTATCAACACTTTATTTATGTGGACAAATTCCAATGTTATTTGCTTATCCAAATTTTGTTTTTAAAGATACAAATAAAACTTCATATAAATATTATGCATTAGTTGTTAATTTACTTGAATTAATAACATATTTAGCAAATTTTTTTATTTATATTAAATTTACAACACAATTTCAACAAGTTTTTCGTACAAAAGTAAAACAATTGTTTTTCTGTTTCTCTAAAAATTCATAACTACAAAATAAACAAGACAACTTAATATTGATATTATTTTTTTTTTGTTCTAATGTCTCTCTTTGTGTCTTTTTCTTTTTTTGTTCTTTCTCAATATATTTTTCTTTAATTTGTTATAGTGTGTTATTTAAAAAAGACAGAATATATAACATATTTTAAACAAAAAATTAAGATTTTATATAAATATTAAAACAAACTAGTTAGATGTAATAGAGAGATCTTTATACGTGATGAACATTTAGAGTAGTCTCTTTCTCTTTTTGGCATGAATTTTTTGAAGATTTTTTTCGGAAAAATTCTGATTGCTTACGACTCCCATCGAACTTTATTTGTTTGGTCTGAAAATTTTTTGAAGATGCCTCACAATATCTCTCACAGGTAGTTTTAAACTTTTACAAAATTGAGTAGAAAAGTCAAATATAAAAACGTCCAATTATCCTTTCCGAGAATGTTTTCAAGGAGCGATGGTTAATTCTTAAGAAGCATCCTATTGAATTGTTTATTTCCTTTTACTATTGTTTTGTGAAAAACAATCTCAAAGGAGTGTTGAAGTACATAGAGTAGGAATTTGGATCTACACCCTTATCACAGACTGTGATGGGCACCTTGACAATTTATTGTTTGAGGGTGTGAATAACAGTTATATCGTGTTTCACATCGTAATCCCACAACAATTTATGAGATTTCGTCAAATCAAATGGACTTCATCAGCATATACAATGATACACATGCATATAAACTCATAAATCTTTTTAAGTCCATTATCAATATCCAATAAAAGTAAAGCAAATAACGCATAATGTGATCAAGTCAATGCTGTCAGACGAAACGTCATGAAATTTTGATAAAACAACAACAATACGAAGTGATAATAAACAATAGAAGAAAAAAGAAAAACAAGAATTTTACATTTCTAGACTAGTATTTTAGATAGACGATGTGTTGTATTTAACTACATCACATTTTTCTTTCTATTTCAAATATTTACTTATTTTATTCATATCATCATTAAAGAAGCCTTTTACATTATCAAACAAGAAAAAAAAAGATCTTTTTGTGTTTGATTCACATTATCGTTTTTAGAATGGCAACAGGTAATCTTGAGACGAAATCTTGTTGTAAATGTGACAAAAAGGGTCAAACTTTTACATGTAATGGATGTCAACAAACGTTTTGTTCTGATCATTTAGATGAGCATCTAACAAATTTTTTTCAACGAAGACAGTATATTGAACAAGAACATAATGATCTCAAACAAGATCTAAGTCAACAAACTATTAGCAAAACTTTATTAGTAAAAATAGATCAATGGGAAAAAGAATCTATTGAAAAGATTCAAGATGCTGCTGGAATAGTTAGAACTACTTTAAATCAATTTACTAAAGAATTAAATGATTTGATTAATAAACTATCGAATGAATTATACTCAAGTCCACAAAAGTCTGATTATTCCGAAAATGATCTAGATCAATGGATGAAACAACTCGAAGAACTTCGAATGAACTTTGGAAAATTATCGAAAATTGAAGTATCCGATGATGATTTTTCATCAGTACCACTTATAAAAATCAAGATTCCAGATGAAAAAGAAAACAATCAAACAGACTCGAAATTTTCGGGTACAGATCGTTCAGATGACAAATCAACAGAAGTCGTTATGTCCAGTGCTTCATCAACAGATGATAACTCAACAATAAGAAGTTCACACATACATAGTCAACCGAAAGCATATCACAGTGATTTATTTGGTCTTAATCAATTACGTGACAAAAAAATACAGTCGTTATTAGAAGATCTTATGTATTTGGATCCTATGGAAAAAAATGGACCAATGAGTGGTCAATGTGGTCCACAAACTGATCAAATGGAACGATTTCTTTCAACTGTATTTGGTTTCAAAAATATTCCTGATACATATATTGTTCAAGGTGTAAAATCATTTAAGTTGGATAAATCTCTGCATTCTTTAAAACCAAATGAAGAAATTCATTTTCCTACGACTACTGAAAATTCATTTATTATGACTGTACAAGAAATTATCAATTGGCAACGTTCATATAAAGTTTATGCCGATAAAACAATCAATGGAATGGATCAAAAATTTCTTCAACGTGCTTTACAAGGACAAAGTCAAGATGGTGAAGAAGCTTTTCGTATGAAATATGTCGTACGCATTTCAACATGTCCTATATTGATGGAATTCGACGCGAAAATCATATCTCGTCGTTTAGATGAAGAGTGGCCTAGTCGAATTAAACTTGTTTCAGCAACAGGTATTGATTTTGCTGGTCGAAAACATGATATAGATGATATTGTTCAATATGTATCGAATTGGAAAGATGTTTTCTTTACTAATAGACAATCAGATTTACCGTTACTCTTTAATGAAAGAGATTTTCATCGAAAACCTAATAGATCACGAGGACACCTTCATGAAGAACGTGTTCGAAACAGTTTGATACGTATGACTAGACTACGATTGTGTGCATGTGATGCAGAAGAAGTTCAGATTGTTATTGAAACAGGTATCGGACTTGGAGTATTTGCTGGTAGTCCTATTGGAATTGATGCAAAAATACGAGCACTCTCAGCAGAAGCTATTCGAATCGTACTTGAACAAGATGGAGCATCATACAAAAATATTCGTGCTATTGTCTTTGCTCTACCTATACTCAATGAAAATAAATATGTAGATCGTCCTCTCGATGCTTTTAATGATTTTGTCAATGAATTTCGAAAATCAAAATATACTGGTCCTATACCTGTAATGATTGTTGATCAAGATATGCATCGATTAGCTGTAGCTATTGCTCGTCGTGGTTTTATTGTTTCTGAACTAAATCCTGGTGATTCACATAGTATTTTTGGTGAATATTGGCAAAATCGAGGACCATCGGTTGAAGAAAAATTAGCTTTGACAACAATCGGTCTACTCGTACAACATCACCTCATCAATCCATGGGTACTAGATATAAACAACTATCACCTCTTAGAACTAAATGAAGGATCTATCTTAGATCGACGTGTTATTAAATCGAGCGACAATGAATAATCTGTCCTCAAACTATTGTTGTAATCATAATTTGTTTTAATTATTGAATGAGTTTTTATGCTACTCACATTTTCATATAAGAGATTATTCTAAAAATTTTTCAATATTTAAAATATAATAAAAATATGTTTTTATAGATATGCAAAGAAAGCCAAAAATACAAACGATTAACATTACTTTGATCGAAAATTTCGCACATAGAAATATCAAAATTACATGAATTATTGGACAGTTAAAGATAAAGAATTCAATAGATTTAATTCATTTGTAGCATTGATGTTCATAAAAAAACAAAATGGTTTTTATTGTGTTTTGAAAAATACTTTTTGAAACAACAATATTTTAACTAATGCTAATTTCGATAGAAACTAGTTCTTTAGTGAAAATGTATAGATAAGATTTCGTTTATTGTAATATATCATTTTGTATAGTATTCAGTGCTTTACAATAAATTTGAGTTGAAGAAACTAAGAATTAAACTAAAATTGCTATTTTGCTTGACATAAACATCGGTTCGAACTTTTTCAAGAAAATTTTCTAATACTTGTTCAATCTTATTGAAGAGGGAAAATTTGAATAGTATTCGAAAATAGCGAAAAATTTTGGTTGTAACTAACCAGTTGTTTGTTTTTTTTGTGATCGAAGAACGAGTGAATATTTTGTACCAAGACTTTCTTATTATAGATTAATTTTTTATTTTAATTTATGTTCTTCAATCAACTAATCCAATAGGATATTTTTACTTAACAAAAAAATGTTACCGTGGTATAAAATAAGAATGATATCATTAAATGAATTCTTTTCTTATAGTCAGAATGCATTTTATTCAATATTTTCATGTCTTTGAGATCATCAATAATAATAATAATAATAAAATGTTATTTTATTTGCTTAACTTGTTCAATTATAAAACTGAAGAATTTTATTTTATTTTTTCTGTTTGATCTTTTTCTTGAGATTTCGAGAATATTTACAACAATAGTAATAGCACTCATTTTTAAATCCTTATTTGGTTAAGAAAAAAAAAAAAAGAAGTTCTCTATAGATCGAATAAGAGTATAAGATAAACTCGATATATTGTGGACAGTAAATAAAAAAAAAAAAGAAAAGTGAGCAAGAGAAAAAAAGGAATGTGCCATGATATTAACAATCGAGAAAGTCTGATGCAACGAGTAATTCAAGAACAACTTGAATATCAATTGGAAATTCAGGAATGTCAATCGATGAACTAAACATAAATAATATTCATTCATATTATTTAATAAACGAAAAAAAAAACAAAAAAAGAATTTTACTTTGTATATTTTGCTTTATAAGCAAAATAACGACAAACATTAATAAGTACATGAGAAGGTATATCTTTCAGATAAATTTCATTTGGTTGTGATTCAGAATATTGTCCAGGACCACTAAGCATATTTTTTATTGTTGGTGATGCACTTATAGCAAAATCTCGACGTACAACAAATTCATGTCCATCAGATGAGATTAATTTTAAATACATTGAATCAGGTCCTTCTAAACCACCATAAATATTAGGTGGTGTTGCCGATGAAGCTGTTACATTAGCATTTTCTGTTGGCATTATGATTAATTTTTTTTTGCTTTAATAAAATCGAAAACAATCTAAAGAACAAAAAACAACAAAAAAAGAATTTCATTAATTGTAAAATATTCATTTGTTAAAAAGTTTAATTCTTAATCAAAATTATCATTTTCTTGTCGAAAGAAAGATTCTTGATTAAGGAAGATGGAAAGAGACAATTCTGTCGTCTCTCAAAATATTCAACTTTCCAAAATATCATTTATTATTATGTAGTAGAAAGTGAAATCAAAATAAGAAGATAATATTCTTGCTTTAATTCTCTTACACTATAAGATATGTAAAAAAATTAATTTTATATTAAATGTCAGTTTATCTATCCTAGATTTTCTAACATTAAATCAATATTTGATGTAGAGAATTTTATTTGTCATTCAATTCTATTTATTAAGTCACATCTTGAATCGATTAATTTTCATCACAGACAGAATTGAAATTTTCAGTAACTATCAAGATTTTTTTCTTCTAATTCACTAGAAGAAAAAAAAAACATGATTTTACCCAAGTTAGAGTGGTTCTATTTGTTTCTTCTCTATGCAAAACAATACAATATAAATTATGTTTCATTAAATCTATCTCGACTTCTATCTAACTATAATTCTAAATATTAAGTATGTTGACAATTAACAGATCTGATTCAAAACTGTTCTATATATAATAGAGAATCATTAAGTTGATATATATTCAAAAAAATGAATTTAGATTCTAGACCTTCAGGCAAGAATATGTTCAACTACACTCTTAATAATATAATTCAATGTAGAGACATTATCGGAAATTATTTCTTTCATTATATTCAATAAATTTATATTGTTCCAAAAACAAACAAAAGAAAAAAAACATTAATTTATTAAATGTATGATATTTATTTGAATTGTCGAAAGAAAAAAAAAGAGAGATAATCTCCAGTAGACGAAAGAAAACGAATGCGTATAGAACAGTCATGAGAGAAATACACACACACACACACTTGACAAAAAATTCTTCTGCGGTTGTACACGAAAAAAACAAACCAAACAAAAGGATAGATAGCATTTTGTGGCCAAAAAAAAAGAAGTTAGAGAGAAAAAACCGCACAAGTATCTATAAGGTAAATACGAACGAGAATCACTGTTCTAGTAATTAGTTTATTAATGTATATAATTTAAAATATACGAGAAGAAAAAACAAAAAAAAGGACTAAACATAAACACAAACACACTATTCAGTCGCGAGAGAGAGAGAAAGAGAGAAAAAAAAAGGAGGATTGCGAGAGAAAAGAAATTTTGCCTAAAAAACAATCAAACGCGCACAGCATCAGTAGCGACTAGATTTTATGAAATGAGATAGAAGATTTGTTTTTTTTGTTTATTCATTATTATGCACGCGCATATTTTCCCAAGTAATAATAATAATAATAATAATCTCTATTCTTTGTTCTTCTTCTTCTTGATATGTATACAATAAAAAAAGAAAGAAAGAAAAAGAATATGAGAGAAATAAAGAAAAAAAAAAAAAGACAACGCGCGTCACCGATGTGTTCTATGCAAAACAAAAAAAAAGGAGTGAGAAAAAGAAAGATTGACAGAAGAAAAAATTAAATGACTAGAATTATTTTCGGGAGAAATATATGGTTCATATACATATATATGTTTATCTCAGACCAGCTGAAACGAGCAAAAAAAAAAAGAAAAAAAGAAGGAGATCTCAACCTTTTGAGTCATCATCTACATCAGGAAAATAAACACTTGGTTCTGTATTTCGACGTTTGATCTTAGATTTAAGTTTACGAAGCATTGTTGCCTAAAGATATTAAATTATAGAAAAATAAAAACATCATTTTCAATTACTTTAAGTGCTGATCTTATAATAGTTATGTCACATGGAGGTTGAAGCCATGGTTCACCATCAACTTGTACTGGAACTGGATAATCATTATTCATTCGAATATGAACCTTGATAAATGAAATGATTTATTTCAAAAAAAAAAATTTTTTTTTGATCTTAAATAAATCTTACATGTCCACCCTGAGCAAGTCGAACACCAGAACGTATACCCGATTGAATTTGTCCAAGATGTACAATACCAGTTATACCAACAACTTCTAACATACCATCATAATGTGTTGGTCGATTAAATTTATCATCTTTTTCATGTCCCCATAAATTTGCTCCACTTGCCCAACTAAGTATATTCATAATAACAATACCGTCAAGTTGTGGTAAATCAACACGTTTTCCATCAACTTCAAGTACAATATCACGTGTAAAATCTTTTAAACCACCTTTTTTCATAATTTTTTTAATACCAGTTTTAACATAATAACCTTTTGCTTGAATTCTATAGATAAAAAAAAAAATTTTATGCTTATTTCTAAAAAAACAAAAAAAAAGAAGACTATTGACCGGCTATTAAATTTATTTGGATTTTCTTCTCGTGCCATATGAAAATCCAAACATATATCAGCATCAAGTCCAAGACCAAAATAATTATTCATAACAAACATTTCAGTTTTATCTTCACTTGTTGAACCTTCTTGTGAAACAATCTTCAAAAAAAAAAACAGAAAATTTTTAATAAAATATTTATCATATAGATAATCAAAAAAATAAAAGTATCAATTTTTCGGTTTACAAACAAACGTTGAAAATTCTTTATACAGTTTTTTTTTTAAATTAAACATACCGGTAATATAATTGATGGTGGTGGTAAATTAAGTTGTCGTATATGTTTTCTATTTTCTTCAGATTTTCTTACAGCTGATGTTGATTTACCACTATTAATTTCAGGTACATTTGGTAAACGTTTATCTTGATCTTGATGAAAAACAACAGTCCAACGATCTAATTTAATTTCTTCAGCTTCAACTATATCCCTGAGCAATGATAATGGTTCTTCACCACCTGTATAACCTGAACCCCAACGAAGTACACGTGCTAAATCATTACCTGTACCAAGTGGTACAATACCAACAGGTGGTGATTGACATAATGCATCTTGTCCAACATTATCTAAACAACTAAGTACCCAACCAACTGTACCATCTCCTCCACATGCTAATATACGATAATGTGGAATATTTCGAAAAACATATAAACCAGGTAATGGTCCACCATTTTGTAAATCAAATACTTGATGTGGATTAAGTAAATGACGAAAATTTGTTATTAATTCAGCTCCTTGTTGTCCACCTGATTTAACATTAACAAAAACAAGTAATGGACATATATTTGATGGTATAACTTGTGGTTGAATATTAGGTAACATTAATACTAATAATTGTTTTTGATCATGATATGCTTGTCGTAATATTGTAAATGCACGTGTTGCACGATCACTATCATTATAAACTAATACCATTGCTCCATGTTCATAATAAATAACATCCATATTATCCCATTTTAAATCTTTATTTGA